TGTCCTGATTGACCAAAATATCTAACCATACATTACAATTTGGGCAACATACATTTCTTACTTTCTTATTTAATGTAGACTTTTTCAGAAATTTTCGTTTGTTCTGAGTTTATACAGTTTTATCACTACACGTGGTCCAGTAAAATATTAAGTTGACTTCATTTTAGCTGCTTTTGTAACTTTGTTGCTCTTTAGAGATAATATTGACTCTGCCTATGGATAATATTTCTGTAATGTTCCACACTATAAGATCAGAGCTAGTAGTGTCCTTTACTGGTAGAGCAGATGAGATCTAGAGGCCACAGCCACATCTATGTTGAATGAAAATGAGCATTCACATTGGTAGCACTAGTCACTATGGGTAAATCCAATGTTTCCCATTAGGTAGGAAATATTAGATTTAGACAGCAACACAGGGTACCAAGTGAGTTGATTGATGGGAAAGCATCTCGAAGCAAAAAGTATTTTATTCATTTCACAAGTCTGGAAGATGACCATTCAGTGTCTTAACACAAGCATGAAAACTGTTGTTGTCGTCTTTGTTAATAAAGATTTTTTCATTTGTGCAGTCCATTTCCTTGAACTGAGTTAAATTTATATTTATTTCATAATTTACCCTGCCAATCATTTCATTATAAAGTGGACCTACCTAAAAAAATCAGTTTAACCTGAGAATATCACAGAGTATGTAGGAAGGAAGAAAATTGATGCCATGAACACATGATATTATTATGGAATTCCCTGTTTTTGCTAACGTGTATATTGCTCTTCTTGAACTCTTCAGTCATTCAAGTGACATTTTCTGTAAATAGAAGTACTCACAAGCAAAAGAGTTTGCAGCTGAAGAGGAAAAGCTTATGAGAGGTGTTGAGTTTAGAAGTCTTCTCCTGAGAACAGGATTTTCACAGATGTTGCAAAGGTCTCTAATGTTCCCTATTTTGCAATTTCAGACCCAGGAAGATCAGCCAATACCTGATGTACTAATAATGGCATTTCAGCATTGCTGCTAAGGATCAATCTTGATGCAAGGAAAGCTTGAACAACTGAGGGTCGCATAGGTGGAATGGTGCCTGAGACTATATTGTGTGGTCTCTACAGGATTATCAGGCTGTACAAAGCCAGAGTAGCACAGTCCAAGCTCTGGTCAAAACTAGCCAAGGAGTACTGAATGTGCCAATGGTAGACTACCTCCACTAGTCAGAGTTGTTTTACCAGCCAGTGAGATGGAGGGAACCAATGGAAAAGATTATGAAGTATGGGGCAGTTATTATCCTTTCCAAGCTGGGAGGTATTATGCCATGGCATGAATGAACCATGAGGAAACTTGGGGTCGTTCAGAGTTAATGGCTGAGCTATCAAAAATAACTCATCACTCTGAAATCCTGTACCAGAGACCAAATACTTTTCGAATATTGGATTCATTGAGTATCCTTACAACATCAATGACATCTCATCAAGGGATTTGGCTGAGAATCCACAAGGGACGGACTTTGGCCAACACCACAGGTCGCTATCAATGATGTCTCTACCTGGCTCCAGAAAAGGAGAAAACTATGTGCTTTAGATGTGGTATGTTCAATCACGTTTGAAAGAACTGCCCATACTTTGGCAAGGCTATCAATTACAACCGATGACTCTGCAAGTGCCAAAGAATCAATAACACCAGTACTTCACTGACCACTGGTAGATTTTGTGGTTAGCCCAGCTCTGCAAAAAAGGTGGGAAGAGTATTCATATGAGTGCCAAAAATATGACCTCTGTTTTTAAATTCCATAAAGCAGAACATTGCATAATTCTAAAACTCCTTTCAAGCTAGGAAAACAGGAATGTATTTATATAATTAAAGTCAAAGCTGTTCTAAAATCATTCCCAATATAATCAGGTAGATCATTGTGCTCAACAACAACCAAACCCAAATTTATGAACATCTTTGTCTTAGATTTCACTAACTTAGATTTTTAGAACATCCTAAAAAAATTGTTCTATAGAGTTACTAAATGATTACACTCTACATCACACAAATGGAAACTTTTATAACTGTTAAAATAAGTAATAGCATCACCAAAAATTAAAACAAACTCGCTTATGGAACAACTGGGAAGGTACCAAACATCCTGAGAAAAACTATTGCACTAAATTTCAAGTGTGTCTTGGACATGAAATTATGGTAGCTTATTTAGGAGACAAAGATGAGTCTTTTAAAAGGAAGTGAAAGTTACCAAAAGTGTCAAGAATAATAACTACTTAAGTAGATGGAGATAAAAGTCAGGTCTTAGCTTTCCAGACCCAATATCCAGGCTAGTAGGTGATCCACAACTTAAAAGAATGGCATCTTTAATAAAAGATTCTGTGGCCAAACATTCAAGGCACATGAGCAGAGTTGCATTAAAATCTTTATATACAAACAATCAAATGTTCAGGCCATGAATCAGCCAGAGTAGTTGCTCATGACTAAAAGTAGTAAAAGGGATATACAAAAACAAAAAGGCAGTTTAAAAATACCTTATTACAATATTCCTCTCAAACTCTAAGAGGAAAAATATCTGGAATATCACCAGTAAAATCAAAGAGGATAATACTAAATCCACCATCAGTACAATCAAGTTGATGGACAAATATAACCATAAAAAGAATCAATAGAACTTTTCTTTGTATGTATCACAACCTCTGTAAAACCTTAAGGTGGAAGAAGTAAAATTATGAGAAAACAACAAATCATGAATGCCCTGTGATTTTAACTAGACATAAACACACTTTTCAGCAACTCTACTTACAAGTTTGATTCATAAACTTTGTGCAAACGAAAGTATAGCACTTTATTACTTATACAATGAAGAAAAGTAAGTCGACTTAGGGAGTTGATATTATAAAAATTTGAAAACAATCAGTCTGTACACAATTATCAACTACTGAATACCACACAAAACCAAACAGGTTGTGTTGAAAATATTTTGTGTCAAACCATATTATCCGGGAAATCAACACGAAAGACACTGTACTAGCTCAAAGTATGATTGCTCTAGATTATTAAAAATCCTTAAACAACATTTTTTTCCCTGCTCACCCATATTGTAGTTTCTTATGAATAGGACACTTAGAGAAATGTGCAGTACAAGGATCTCTTAAAGATTCATCATTACAGTTAGAATGGTATGCATTTCATACACTTGAAAAAACCTTAACTGGAGTAGCCAGCAAGCAGCTGTGTATTGTAAATGTTAGGCATTATAAAATACTTCTCAACCATGACATAATGAACTAGTAAATAAGTCATAGCAAAAGTGACCACCACATACTCTATCCTTTTGACCATCTCATTTCTCCTATAGTAGTAAGTCTTTTAGCTTCTAGAGAAGTGCAGTCAGTGCTATTAAGTTCTACCTACAAGTCTACAACACCAAATTATAGTAATACTCCAGATACTACCCTACAACGTTCTGGAGTGAATTGAGCATATTGTGCTTTCATTTAACATTCACCCAGTCATACGTTATGATAAGGAAGGGGCAGATTCTGAACTGACTTCAACCACAGCATCCTTCCCATCAGAAACATTTTTAGTCTCAACAGTTTTAGGTACCCATTTCAAAACTCAGTAAAAACTTATTACATTTCTGAGATCAATTTAGTCCAAGTGTACTATTATAGCAGAGTTTGAAACAAGTTGGATATTTGCAGAATAGTGTATACAGGACACGTTACAAACAAATGCATATTTATGTTTCTTTCTATATGGCAAGGTCAAAGTGTGCATTTCACAATATTTTTACAGAATTACATTCAAAATTTAATAGCTTTATTATCAATGCATGTAAATAAACTCAGCATCAGAAAATAGTTTATTATTCAAATTTTTGTACTGCTTAAGTTTAATTTCTTAATTTTAAAGAAAACGATAGACACTATAACCTGATCTCTTTCGAAAGCACTTGGGTTATAGGTTTTTTATCATTTTATATTAAGACTTCTTGCATCTATGTTTTTTGTGACATCATTAATTTTAAAGAAAATATTTAAATAAAAATCCCAATCTTCACTTATTTGTGTCATGTGACACATGTGCTTTGAAACTTCCCTCTCTAGATTTTATAACTTCAATAATACAGTTTCTGTATTATCTAACAATTTAAAAGCACAAACTATAAATAATTACAAGTAAAAATATAAAATTTTAAACTCGTATCTTATTTACCAAGATATCAATAAACTTGCCAAATAAGCCTCTCCTATCCTTCTTTGTTTTAAGACAATTATATAATTAGGCATACATAAAAAAAAAAAAAGAGCAGATTCTCTCTTGTATACATCTTACAACTTTTCATGTTTTTGGTAAAAACAGAGACAAAGTACTTAATTTGTGTTGAGCAAAGCCATTGTTCTGAGTAGACAGTCTTTATAGTATCCTGGTGGATTGTGTGTGTGTGGGGGTGGGGGGGGGGGGTAATTGGTTCTGGTTGGTGGAAAGACTGAAGGAAATGTAGTCATGATTGTTTCTCTTTAATTCCATATCATTGTTTAGTGAAGACTTTGTGTTAATGTAGAAAGATTCTTTAATCATTCTTGTTTTCCAAAATTTGCATTATTTCATGATTACAAGATAGTTCCAAAGTGGGTTGAATCAACCACTTCAAATAAGCCCTATGAGAGTAAAAGCAAATTGAAATTATACTCTTTGTTTTTTAATACGAACATAAAACAGAGTCCAGCTCTTAGTGTTCTGACATAAAAAAATTTTGGAATATCAGGGAATGAAATCATGTTTTTTGAATAACATATTTCATCTATGTTCTAAATAACAGAAATTTAAGTTCCATTATCCACCAAAAAGGTTTCATTAACAGTTGAGCTTAAAGTATATTTTAGAATTCTATATGACATAAGGGTACTTACAAATTACAAAATATTTTTGACTCAATTTTTACACACACTTCATATGGGTACCTGCAGTTATTGCAAAACAAATACCTAAGAAAATGAATACCAATAAATCAGACAATGAATTCTGTGGAAAACAAAACTTTATTTTCCTAATACACAATTACATGTTGTATTTACTGGTTGCTATTAGGTCCTCTCCTTCTTCCAAAGGTTTGAACTACATTAACAAAACGACGATTGTATTGCATGCGTCGCTTAGCTCGACCTGTTTTTGCCTTCTTTTTCTCTTGTTTCTCAACCTGATTTACATACAAAAGCAAAAGTAATGTTAATCTTAGAATAAACAGTATCCACTAATAAACAATAATAAACAGTATCCACCATTATGAATACCTCAAACAGATAACTTGTATCATTGATTTACCAGGGTTGTCCATACTTAAACTATTTGAATACAGAATAAATGTTAGGTATAACGGCCACCATACAAAGTTAATACTTTTTTCTGGGAAAAAAAAAGAAAAAAGAGAGAGAGATAAAATTCAAATATCCAACTTTGCTTGCTATGTAGGCACTTTAGTATTACATCCTGAACATACATATTTTAACTAAAGAAGACTTTAATAAGTAATAAGTGTTCTAAATAAATTCATATACTTTACTCTTTAATAATTTGCTAAACTGTGGGTGTGTAATTCATTTTAAGTAAAAAATAATAAAATGTCATATAAAAGCTTTCAATACTCTACAGTTCAAATGCACTTATTTCTTGCTCACTGATCCAGAAAACTGTTTTATCACATCTAATCATCGGTGCCGTTATGTCTGCTAAATCTATACCAACTGGTAACTATTCTATGCTAATGGTGTAATTTTAATTCCAAATCATAGTTCTTTGTCATTAAAACATATATTTGCAACTAAATTACAAATACCATTTAAATGTAAGAAAATTAACAAATATTGTGAATGATTTGAAATTGCATCAAGATTATTTGTTGTGAATCACAGCACAAGTTCTAACATAGATTTAATTATTATTAATAAACAGGCCTCCCAGTGGGCCTCTGCAAAAAAAGTTTTTTTTCTTAAAGGTGCCTTTTTTCTAAAAATGTAAATCAAATTGCAGTTCTGACAAATCAAAATACAAAGTCAAATATAATTGGACTAATAACGAATATGAATTTCTATACCCTTATGTAAAACTTCCAAGATGAAATACATTACTTTATGTGTTAGCACAAAACTTTTACTAATGAAAGTTCTGATAGTGAAATCCGATATGTTGCCTTTGATCAAAAATACCTACGAAATTGTTTATCTTCATTGGATTATTTTGGTAACATCATGACTACATATCAAACTTTTGAGGTAAACTCTTCTAGGTTTTAACTGTTTCCTTCAGTATAATCTGTGCAAAAATAATGGAAATTAAAGAAATATTGTACACGTTTTTCATGGGCTCTAAAAGTTTCACTGGGAGGCCGGAATAAATTTACTAATTAAATCTGAATCTGGCACCAGATGCTAAATGTATAATTTAAAAAACTTTAATAATTTTGCCCAACAATCAATGAACAAACCTTCTGATCAAATGCATGAAAGCACTTTTCTAATGTGATCTTTTGTTTATTCTTGTAAAACTATGGTAATTTGAAGCAATATACAATCAAAAATACATTTAATGATGTACAACTGCTAACCATCATTCATCTTTTACTTAAAAAAGAACAGGAATTGTACTGAGTGAAAATATTATAAACATTATATGAATCTCACACAGAAGAGAAGGAAATAATAGGAATGAGAGTCAAAAATAAAACTGTTTATATTAATTTTTCATGACAAAGTATGAAACCAAAAAAGATTTTATTAAAAAAAAGACTGTGGTCAAATTAGTGTTTGTGCAATACAGTAAATTTCAAAATTTTGCTGTTTGCTATTCTACTAAACTTTCTAGCACAGAAGACAGAAAATCTTCAATAAGTAACTATAAATAAACTTGGGGTATAATTTCTTTCTTTTTCAATATTTACAGACAGATAGCAAATTATAAGGAAATCCAATGAAATATTAGAAAAGATAAGAAGCCCTAAAAATATAGGGAATTGATAGTCTATTATTGAACTTTAATTATAATAAAATCCTTAAAAACTACATTTTTGTGATTAAAGTTGATAAACATTACTTCATGTATGACGTGACAAAAACCAAATATTTTAAACACTGGTCACCAGATGGTACTAACTCTGAGGTAGACAGAACCTTAGCACAACTTTACTACTTGTAAGACATTATTTTAATACAGAACTCAGCAATGGATAAAATTCTGCACTTTAAACAAGTTTATTTTAAAAACGTTTATTTTAGTTGAAACTTGCCTTAGGAGTCTGTCCTTTCACCTTACCAGCACGTGCTAGAGAGCCATGAACCTTGCCTAGAGGTTAAAGTTGTGTGATTAAATATTACAAAATATTGCAAGTTTGCACAACCTAATCTAGAATTACTAAAAAGCAAAACCAGCTTGAAAAGTGTCAAAAGAAGCCAAAACATAGATAAAAAAAATTACAAAAACAGTAATTAGAAAATCACAAAAGCATCTACTAAACCTGAATATTATTTCAGTAAACCCTAACACGAAATTTTCAGAAAAACAAACAAAAGATTTACCAGATTTTTCTTTTTCAACTATATTTTTTTTTACTTATAAATCAAGGCTTACAGTCTTAATACAGATGTGTAAACGTGTACAATCAATTTTTCTTATGTATAAAAAGTTAGTATTAGATCTTTCAAGCAATAAAGAAATAAGTACTACAACAAGCATGAACAACTTTATAGCATGATGTAAAGTCAACAAAAATGTTTAAATTGATGTTTTTTTATCCAGGTATCTAATATTAGCTTTCATGTACTGTAAGAATTTACCAACCTCCCAAGAGTCGAACAGAAACTACAACAGATGAGCCATTAACTAAACAATCTGATAACAGCTGCTCATCGTCTAAAGGGTGACCAGCATGATACAAAACTTGATCATCCGGAGAAATATTTTCCACTTGCTTTATCCATTCCTAAAGGTAAAAAACAAGCAAAACAAACATTCTGACATTTAAAAAAGCTATGAAATAATATAATCAATATCATCATGGTTGATACCCACACTTAAAAATTACTTAAGTTACTTCCTTCTGTGTGTGTGTGTATTGTTTTTTTTTTTACAGTTTGGAACTCAAATATTGTACAACATTCTAAACATTCTTCTGTGACAATATGATGGCATAATATAATAGTTTGCATTTTTTCCCAACTTTATTTATATATATTTAACTTTGGGCTATGCTGTAATGAAATTTAGACAATTATCAATTCCTAATTAATTATAAGCCAATTATTTTTAGTCTTTCCTACTATTACTTACTTCCTTCATCAACAGTCTTTGAGAACCTTTAATGCTGCCAAAGACACACAACATGCATTTGGTTTAGTAAACTGACAACCAACAATCGATTTGGTAAACTAAACCCAGCCCTATACTTAGTAGGTTGATGATTTGACATGAGAAATAGGGATACTAATCCTGAAAAATAGCGAACATTCAGCTTATTTAGCACTATCTCAGTAACAAGTTTCCTTAAATGGAGCAGAAGGTCTTCACTTCTTGCATTTTGCAAATCTGCAATTACTGTTTGCAGAAACTTTCAAGCTCTGACATATAATGTACAGTTATATAACATGGAACTTCTACAATTAAATACAGGAATGCACACTGAATTGCATGACCTAAGTAATGAAGTAAACTGTATGTCAGAAAGGTGTAAAAAAATCTAAAACGCTAGTGGTACTGATATTCATTGGCAATAAGACAGTGAAGTTAAAGAAGGTGCTCCACTGTAAAAATTTGGTAGTTATAGAGAACTGATTACATAAAACGAGTAAACTCAAACCTTTTCAATTCAAAAAGTACAGAACAGTTCTCCATAAGTTGCAAGAGACTTGTGTGAAACAGAAACTGTAAACCAACATAACAAAAATGATTTTGATCTCTCAATTCTATTTCCAATTTTATCCACAATATTTTACTGTTTCATAACTGTACATTTATGAGAAATCAGTTTTATGGATGACAAAACAATTAATTCCACACCTCATACAAGTAACCGACACAATATCAGAAATTAAATTTGATTATCTAAAAATCTGATTTCTAAAACTTGCTTGGGTACAAAGATGTTTTAAATAAAACAGATACAAGTGTATGTCCTATAAGCAAGCTCAATAATATAAAACCCACCTTTAAAACACCAACATTCTGATTTTCATGAATTTCAACATTGTGGGTTTCCTGACCAATTACGAACAACTGCATGATGCTCATTCTGTACAGAAAATAAAGAAAACCTGTGAATAAATATTTCAATGATATTAATCAAATTTTCTGAAAGTTCATAAAACATGGTAGATCTATATCGTTACCATGAAATATACATTTTCTCCTTAAAATGAATAAATTACTGAAAACACAAAAACAAATGTAATTTTTAAAACCTGAACAGACAAAGCACAAAGATTTCTGATTACTTTATAAAAATCTATATTTACTGTAAGAACATTACCAAAACTTTTCAATCCATTAAGTGGCTAATTGGCAGCTCCCTTCTGTATCAAATTCAGTTTTGCTATGAATGTATTTTGAAACAGGTATAAAAATGTTTAATTCATAATTCATTACAGATTCATGTACATTAATATGCAACAATTAAAACATTTACCCTGATTTAAAATTTTCACATTATGATGGGCTTATCATAACTAAAATACAGGAACAGAATTTCAGTTTTAATATAATGTATTATTATTGCAATCATTTAAGCTTTCATCTTGAGATATCACAAGCAAAAGATGCAACATTAATAACAATACAAAAAGGGGAATCTCAAGATTTGTTATGCTAAACAATTAAAGCCTAAATATTGGTAAATAATCAGTATTTCATTCTACAAGGATCAGTAGTTAGTTTTAGAGCTGGATGATTAGTGAGGTTGTGGATACATTGATTACATTCAACTAATCGATTATTCCCACGGTAGACTTATCTTCCTGTTTTCAGCTTTGTTTTTTTAAAGAAATTTTCAAATACAACTATTTAGGACTAAGTTACTTTTTTAATCCTAAAATGTTGTACAAGAAAATTTATTATATACACAGTATAGTATGAAACATGTAACACATAGCAAATACCATTAATATAGTTTGACAAATAATTAAGAACTTTATATGTATAATAATATATAAGCTTTTAAATGAGAAGTTGATACTGACAGAAGTTTAGAAATAACTCAAAATGATTAATACATTTAGATTTTTCAGTAGGCTGAAAGAAACCACAGAAACACAAGAGCATGCTGAAAAATCAATGAGTCAAGCAATTTAATGATTTTCTGTACTGGAAAGCAATGTATAAATAGCATATAACAGTCAGAGACTGGGCAGAACTTTGATGTGAAGAAGACGAGGAGAGATACATGCAAACAGGGTGCTGACTTAGTCTTTGACTATGACCAATTATTGAAATAGTTTTGTTTTTAGTTCCAAGAGATATGATGAGTCTGCAAAAATTATCCAATTATGTGACAGATCTACTTGTGGGTTAGATGTGTACACTACTTGGAGAATCGCAAGGACTTGGTATAAGAACCCACTTTCTGGACTAAAAGTTCAGTTGTCTGATGCTGCTGACAAGACTGTAGTTCTGCTGCTCGTATGTTGCCAGATCCGTACAACATAGAACTGATGAAAATTATAGTGCTCCAGAAGATACAAAATACTTACCCTTCAACCTTGATTTAAGCAACAATTGCTATTTCTCTCAATCGAGTAGCATAGTTATGAAACTGATGTAAAATGTATGGTGTTAAGGAAAACTCATAGATTAAAGTGTGTCTGAGCACTAAATATATGTATATATATATATATATATATACACAGCATTACACATTGTTACTGTTATTAAACCCATTTCTTATGATTTCTGACAAACACAGTTAAATAAGCAAGTTATATACCAATCAAATTTTTTTAGGTAATACTTTTGCTTTTTAAATTAAAGCAGTCTTACCCTAGGTAACACTAGTTATGTTTGTAACCTCTAACAAGTAACCAATATACTAAGTTAAAACTACACTACTGTTTAGTCCAAGCTAGGTGAACATGAACAACAGGCATCACTCTGCCTATTTATGGAAACGATGGTCACTAGGTTATGTCCTCACATTTGTGAGTTATGTACATACCATCTTGTACAGTCGTGACAATGAAAGTGGTGCTAGCTACTGGGTTGTGCATTTGAATTCAGTTGATATGTAACTGAAGATGACCCACTTTGAATTATGACAAGCCTGCTGTTCCTTACTTTGAAAGAGGGAAGATGACAGAAGAAGAAGCCAGTAGATGATACATTAAAGTAAAGTGAAACTTTTAAAATTTTGGATCTCTGCTTACCATGACGTAATGTCAAAAATGTGATGTAATTCTACTAAAGTTTGTGTAATTCTGCACATTATAGGCCTGTAGGAAAATGCTCAATGAATATTAATAGATGATCCTTCAAAGTTAGAGAAAATTAATGCTAAAAATTAATGTACAAAAGTCATGACTTGACTAAAAGTTTGAGTTTCTGTTGAAGTTTGTGGGTTTTTTTTTTACATTAAATTTTTTATGACGTACTAACTTCAGACTCCTCATTTTTAAACTACTACTAATAGGATATTCTGAAATGTTCAGTACCAGTAGTGTTGAATAAATAAAAATCCTTGATTGTCCAAACTTGGTAACCACCCTCTCTTTCTGGGCTAAATTTATCTGGATCAGTCAATTCACCAAAAAACACCCAGTCATATTTAACAATTTTTAAATTGGTTAAATATTGACAAAGTTTATCTGTGATTGTTAATCTCCCCCTGACCAATCAACTCTATAAATCAAGATGCAAGTGGGACTGCTCTTTGAGTATAAATATTAAAAATACACGTGCATTTCAGTTAGCCCTTAAATTGTAAGTGGGAGAAAAGACTTGAAGAGATCAATATATGGTCTGAGGATCGAATAAAAAAAACTTTGTATTAAATAACAACCGAATGCTAACCTAAAATTCCAAGATGCTTGAAATTTACACAAACTTAATTTACATAATTGTATACTTACTAGTCTTTCTGATTAAAATGATTTTAATAATTTCATACAGCAAAAAATTAAGCTTGTGCAGTGTATTATTTACTCTATCTTAATTTTACCACAAAAAACTCAATGAATGCCACAGTCATTTACTATAGATAATCTTTAATTTTATTTGTAGCCTGTTACACTAATACAGAAATTAACAGAGCTCATCTTAAATACCTACAATTGCTTTAAATTTCATATCTTTAAAAATTAAAGATGAAATATCTTTCGGTGTAATAATGGAATAAACTTAAATCATATTTGAAGTTTTGAATTTAATTTACTGACAATGATGGAATTATTCTTGTGTGATTTGAAGAATATTTTTACCTTCTTTTAAGAAGGAACTATCTAGAGTGAATTATTGAACCAACATCTACAATTTTGATAAAAAGGTTCCACTGTTAATGCTAGGAGACACAGAAACACCATTTTTGTTGGTAACTTTGTACATGTATACTTTTGTTATTGGTGATGGGAATTTACAGAATATACATCTCGACTCTTTTTGTGTATGCTGTTTATACCAAGTAATGAAATTTCTCCCACCTTAGCCAAGATTGTATTTTATAAATCCAGCAAAAATAAGAAATGTGAAATTAATATGTCAAATCTCCTTTCTTGTCCTTTACTTATTTAATAACGGGCACTATAAATGACCCTAAATTGGAAATAAAGGTCAAATTATTAGTCTATTTTTAATTCTTTGTCCAGTGTAGGTTTGTATTTTTGTGTTATAGCCTTTAAAATGCACAGTGTAGATTTTTCTTTTTTGATCTGGACATTGTATTTACAAATACAAAGTCCAATATTCTTACCTGTGTCAACCTTAATAACACTGCTTGAAATGAATACTCAGATTCTTACACTCACAACATTTATAGGATTCACAACATAACACAATTTTGATGGCATTCCACAAAGCCAAAAAGATGATCTTTGCATGCAAGAAATTTTGTGCTTTTTACCTAGCATTATATAAAATGCTTATTTGGAAATAATAAACAAATACTTAAGTCTTTTCACCCAAAAGAAACAAAAAATAAAATAACTTGAGTGGAAGCTATGAAAGTCACAAATATTCAATAAAGAAAGTAGTGGTTTACTGTAATTTTATTTCACAATTTAACCCAAAAGGACTTCAGGTCTATGAAATATATAAAACAGACCCGTCAGCTGTAAGTCATGTTTACATTTTACTGGCATCAGTCTACTATTGGTTTTAACTTGTACTTATGCATTTCTAACATTTTTATTGAAATTTACTTTATAAAAACTATTTGGATTCTTGCTTTAGAAAATTATTCTTGAAACGTTTTAAGCAACTTCACTATCACATTTAAGCTCTTTTAACGTATATTCATATTATTTGGATATTGTTCAGATAAAAAATTCTATAAAGTAGTTACTAATCCAAATATGTTACCTGTCCATGTTTAATAAAAATTATTTTCCTTTAATTTATTTATATTTTTAATAGATTTCTAATACACCTAACTTGTTTTAAATGAAGAATTTTTTTCTCACTAAATAGATAATGTAATCATTATGATTCTAATTCTTTTCATGAAGTTAACTTCAATTAGTTTAATTTTATCTGCTTTTCCATATTACAAGTTCTAATTAAAGGTTATTTATTATCTCAATTACCATTTGATCTCATTTATCAAAATCAGTTAAACTTCTTACTCTATCATAGAAATCTTTCAGAAGTTTGATAAGTTTGCCAATCAATCTGTTTTTTAAAATCTAGGCTCATTAATTTTGCCTTTACTGCATTTACAGTCACTAAATGTTACAGCACACTGCAAATACAATGTGAAAAATAAATTAATATGATAAATAGATAATATTTATATACCATGCTGTACTAGACATTGCCTGGAAGGACTGATACTTATAATTGCTTTATTGTTAAAGGCCTAAAAAATACCTTTTTTGAAATATTTTAAATAGTAAACATAAAAAAATATCTGTCCACACCATTCCATAAATCTTGCTTTCATCATAAGTATGGAAATCTTGGTAAAAATTACACTTAACTCTTGTCCTTAAATAATTAGTTAAATACGATTTTTGATAATCAATTTTTGGTGATTTTGTGTGAGAATTAACTATTTTCTCTCATGCTAAAACAAGAACTTTTACAACAATATTGTTGCCCTCTTTCAAATTACTAAATTGCCATGTTTTATACTCATTGTAGTAAACTGTCAGTGTAGCAACTCCTCTCCATATCATTGACATATACAATTTTGAATAAGCCACATGCATCAACCCTAACCCAACAGATAACTACTAAAATCATGCAGAGACAAGTCTCCAACCTACATCATACAAATTTAGTACCTTCAGTTTGAGAATCAAGTTCAACTCGTACTTAAAATTGTATTGTCTTAAGATACAATAAATTTATGGAGTTTTTGGTTTAAACTAGTACTAGAATGGCATGCAAAGGAGGTGGCTGTGTGTGCTCTAGCCCATAGTTTTCTACCCTTATGCTGCAAGTGCATTCTTTTCTCTCTGTCATAAAAATTGGCAACAACTATGAAAAGATACACCTGATTCCACACCCTCTTTGCTTCAAGTTATTAGGAGAAAATAGTTTAGTTTTAGATGATAAAAATGATTATAGCCCAATTTAATAGGAATAAAAGAGGGTGTTTGCTTCTCTGGTTTTTACTCGATGTGCACCACTACCAAAGGCCACAGTCCCAGTCTTTTCTAGTTCTAGCATCCCCCCCCAAAAAAACTCTTGCCTTACAGTGCTTAAAAAAGTGCTTTTTTTAAAATGAGCTCCTGTCCATCTCTCTTCATCCTTTTGTGGTTACTAATTGCATCACCTAATTAGCTTATAAGTTATATAAACTGACCGTTTATGATGAGGCGCTGTTAATGTTATTATGCGTACATGCTTAGAATAGCATTTATACTTTTATAGGCTTAGCGACGAGTGCTAAGAACTTCCAAAAAAAGGCGGATGCATAAAAATTAAGTCTTCATTAGACATTACGAAACAATCTTCCATTAGAATTCTAACTTTTTTTAAAAAACATGGCCACCTAATTTAGTTAAACAAAGTTAAATAAGAGCACACAAGAACAAAAATATATTATTACTTACTATATTGTACACTTCAGCACCAACACGTGTAACTATATCACTCAATTGGTAACGAAAGAGAGAGAAAGTACACTCGATACTGGCTTACACTATTTCCCGACAGAGAGCGTTACAAAGGAAACAGTAATTTTAATAATATATTATGCCGTTTTTAATGTCACCTCCAGTATCCTTACAGTTTGCCGTGCTTTGACTCATTCTTATTTTTGTAAATTTCATTCTGCATTGCTTAACTTCTTAAAACAATTTAAGCCCAAGTTATGGAATTATTTTTAGTTTTATAAGTAGAGTCTTTCCATCTCATATCCCCAAATGCCAACCTTGAAAGCTCTGACAGGGGCTAATGTAGCTAGTTTAGGGTTGCGAGTGTACAGACACTGCCGGTTATAGCTTGGATTATTTTGAAAGCAACTTTCTTTAATTTTAGCATTCCATTTCTCCATAACCTGTTGCTATTTAGTTTGTAAAAGCAATAAAATGAACGATCGTTTTGTGCAGTCCGTCTTTGCAACAACAAAAACAATCAAAACAAAAAAGAGTAGTGTTAAAAATTTCATATTGTACCTGACATCCTTTTCTGTTGGAAAAATAATTTCATCATCAATGGATTATCATCTCTCAGCAAGACAGCGGTAAATCTGCTGACTTATAACGTTAAAAACCGGGTTTCAATACCCATGGTGAGTACAGCACAGATAGCCCATTGTGTAGCTTTGTGCTTAATCATAAGCAAACAAACTATGGATAATTTCTGCATGAAAAAAATATTGGAAAAAATATTTACTTAAAATACCAGGATTTGTTCTGATCATTTTAAATCTTTGAATCTCATTTCAACAGTAGTAAAATATTTATAAAAGTAGTGCCTTCAATCATGATGTTTTTGAAATCTTGAAAACCAGAATTTCACCTTATTTTGTAGAAAAGTGTTATGCCTTATGAAGTCGCAATATGACACAAGTGTCTTAATTTTCTCTTGTAAAACTATGGCTCTAGTAATAGCAAATTTTCCGCTTGTGATTGGTTTTTGTTTGTTCTGTTCTGTTTTTTGAATTCGCGCAAAGCTACACGAGGCTATCTGCGCTAGCCATCCCTAATTTAGCAGTGTAAGACTAGAGGGAAGGGAGCTAGTCATCACCACCCACCGCCAACTCTTGGCCTACTCTTTTACCAACGAATAGTGGGATTGACCGTCACATAATAA